ATTTTTCTTTGTCTCACGCTCGTGTCATGTTGATTAATTCACCTTCACATTTCATTACCGAGCTTAAAATTCACCATCTTTATTAACTTATCAATATTTACATTTTACATCACTTTCTGGATCTCTAGGAAAATGGGGCAGCATTTCGCACTTGTATTTAAATAGTTGCACACCTCCCATCCACCGTAGTATCCTTATAATACCTTCAAAGATTCCCGAGACTGGAGTAGCACTGTAACAAAATCCATTATCCTTACTATCACTGTACACTTTGCCCTATAAAAAAAACACACGGAGAAAAAGAATATTGAACAATTAAAATCCTACAAAACAATGTTAAACAACATTTATCCAGCAATCATTCGATGACCTTGCGTGAAGTATACTCTGCTGCATGCCCCCACCCTGTTGCATCTTCTTAGATTAGCTGGATCAACTAGATGTGGACATGTCAGTTTCATCAAAATGAAGCAATTATGTGGAAGCTGTCCATGGTATGTCAGATGATGCAGGGTACAATGTGGGACTTGAACAAAACGTGAAAGCAAGTGGAGGTATCCTTTACAGAATCTCAGGTCTTAGACTATATTCTGCATAATCACGAAAAATGATTCACATTCAAAGGAAGCTCGAAACTAATTGCGAAGCAAGGATTTCCTTGTTTACCCCAGATACTTTGATTTTTGAAGTGAAAGAGACAGAATGTTTACCAACCTATGAAGCAGCTAGGCAAAAATCCTTTCACAAATCCACCTATTTACCACACTTGAATTGATAATTAAACCAACAAGACAACTGCAAGCCTAATCCAACTACAAAAAGTGAATTACATAGAGTATGCGAACACGAATTACTTAGAGTATGATTCCCAAAGCATGACAGACCTTCTGGTGTTGTGTCAGGCCATTTTCAACATATGCCAAGAGAGCAGAAATCTTTCAGTAATGAGAGGGCTCATCTATAACCAATGTGGCCCGGGTTTCAATCTTGAAATCTGAGGGGTTGAGTTTAATGAGGTTTCTCTTCCTTTCTTCAAGGATTATTTTACAGGTTCTCCAATTTCCCCCACAAAACGCCAACAGTTCTAAACTTCATTTTAATCTGACAGTAGTGACCAGCTTAAGCTGTTGCACAAAAAGGTCCATTTAAACTCACATGAATTGACTCAATCAGTATCACCTAGAATATTTAATACTTCTTTCATTGCTTTTCAGTTATAAATTGATTGCTTCATGAATTCTGCCAAGCCTTTTACAAGTGAGTCTTTCACTTACTTCATCTAGTAAATGATCGATTGCAAAAAACTGAATTTCCAGTTACGTTAAGCATTGGAAAGGGAAGACACCTGGAATTAATTGCAAACGAAACTTGCTAAAAATTGGTGCACAGGCAGATGGTTAATATCAACTTTTCTTAATAGCCGCGTCAACATCTGTTGGGTATCAAGGAGCACATCAGCAGTGCAGATGAATTAATTCAGCTTACGTCAACTGCAGACATTTCCTTGCAAATTTGGTAAAACTGGCTGTTCTGAGAAATAAGCACAGAAATGGATCACTATAGAGAAAAGCGTAAGAAAAGCGTACCTTTGGGTGAAGAAACGGAGCATTTCTGGAGAAGACAACGCACAAAATATACAAATCTCTCTTATAAATCTCTTATTAGCATTTTGCAGCAATGTTTTTCATGAACCTGGGGGGGGGGNGGGAATAGCTTATTAAAGGTCTCGGTTTAATGACATCCAACTCTTTACTCTTCCTGTTCATTACTAGTCTGCCTTTGTTGTAGATGACAATGAATTTAGTTATCACGTTACTTCTTTTCTTGCTAGGTTTACATACGCTTGAACTTTGCCAAGGGTTTTCAGTGGCTGAGGATTCCTGTTTTATGAGTCAAATGAGTCAATGAGTCATGAGTCATGAGTCAATGAGCCATGAGACAAGTTATGAGTCAGGTCAGCGGTTTTCAAAATTCAAACTCGGAGTAAGTACTGACTGTGAATTCGGTGGTTCGCTATGCAACAATTTTTGTTTCTCGAATTCATTTTAATAGACGAACAAGTTCAGAGGTTGAAATTACTCAAAGGACGCTAGTTACAGCGACAGACCTTGGAATTTTCTTGCTGAAATGGGTTGGAAAAGACGGGCGACTGCCATCGCTTGATCGCAACTGATCACTCCCAAGAAGTCGTACAAGAGACCTACTGACCGGAATATCACCTGATATGGTAGAAAATATATGGTTCGCCACCTTTAAATCTAGTGTAGAACCTTTGGAACCTAAGCCGGCACCAATAAACAGCATGTCATGTGCAGCCGATAAGGATTTACTACTGTCCCTCGAGCACATTGCCAAATATATTAATGGCACGGGTCATAGGATCAATATCCAATATGGCAGCCAATGCAATAGAACCGAATGTCAAGACAAAAATAATTACTCCTTTTCTGCGCTAAATGAAAGTAGAAAATAACAATTTAACAAAAACTTAACTAGTGAGCAGCACTCTGCGAACTGTAGTTGTATAACTTCTTTATTTCTCCTACGTGTTTCGTGTGACTAACGCACACTTCATCAGGGAGTTTAACAATACAACACGAAGCACCTGTATACATACCTAACTCATACTAGAGTTTACATTTCGTAAGAACACACCTACGGATATACATATAGGAATGACAAACTCCGCAGTAATACTTCTAGGAAACAGGCGGTAAATTTCGACAAGGTGTGACATATTTTATGCGTGATATAATTTTGGGGCCCACAATTTTAGCTAAAACTGTGGGCCCCAAAAATTACTTACAAAGATTAGCTAATGTCACAGTTTTTTTGTAACATACTGCACAATCTAATTCTGGTAAGATAGTGCTAATAATACTCTTAATACGTGCGTGACTACAGTTGAAGGTAGTCTTGAAGACAATAGTCCTACCCAAGCTAGACTTATTCTTAGGTTTCTTGTAAAGCCATTTCTTTCTGTCACTGTATCGTATTTCACGTAACAATGGAAGCAGAAAGATGAATGGATAACTCGTAGTCGCTTCCAGAACTTTTCCCTAGTTTCATAAAATGAATTAAAGGAAGAACTGTTTCCAGCATATCTCATAAGTTCCCCTTTGATGAAGGCTTTCTTATTGCTAGAAGGGTGAAACGACTCGAAGGGTATGTAAAGATATTTGTTGANCTCATTGACTCATTGACCCATGTTTACCGAACACTCTCAGTGGCTCTGTGGTTCAATAAGGATAGAACTGAGGGTTGCATACTTTGATACAGAATGTTTTAGGCATGCTTAACCAGAGCACATTTTGAAAGGTATATTCAGTGTCTAAGTCACAAAGATGATTTCATTAATCTTTAATTATTTAATTTCTTATTCTAGTGAAAAATATTAACGTTATTCTAATGATAATTTTGATTTCCTTGTACATAGCTCTTAACAGTACTCCTCATTTTTAATTAGTTACATAGATATTTCATATAGAAGGTCATGAGCATTTGGCCATTTGGCTGCCTTACTAACCTAATCATCAAATACGATATGTATGTATGCACACAAAATAAAGGAAGTGGATGAAAACTGAGATATGAACTGTGACCATTATATGGCTTTAGAGATGCGATGTCTGCATAAGTTATGAGTTTCAGTTTGGAATGTTTTGTTTGTATTGGAATATTTATATTCAGACATTTCTAAGCTGACAAAATTTCTTCTGCTTGTCAAGCAAGAACTAGAGTAGTACTACCAATTTAGCCGATGTAAGAATTCATATCTTGAAAAAGGGGTTTCAGTCACTTGGGGTGATAACTGGAAATCTGTAAACAGCTATACAGTACTTGTGCAACTTCTGAAATACACCTTTATCAGATATATGTCAAACAATGTTTTGTAAGATACAGATGTATACCTGTTATAGCTGTCGATCTCCTTTGGTGTAAATACCTCTGATTTGACACTTGACGACCCTGCCGTGAAGCAATTACTGGCTGCTGTGATGCCCAACATGGCCATTTTAGACAGGAAAAAGCTCACAGACTTGAACAGAACACTGGGCTTTTTGCCATTGTCTGGAGTTACAAATAAATAGATGAAGGCTCAGTACCTTATGAGATTTCTTTCTCATCTAAACAGAGTCCACAAATGCATACATGTACAAAGAACGTGACAGTCAAGTACATGTATCCCTCAACGGTTTACACTCTTGACTGTTTTTTTTTTAACATATAAAGCATGTGAACCCTCCCTCTGGACACCTTTCTGATATAGACCCCTCTCTATTGCGAACAGTTGCAACTGTTGCACAGCTGAACCCCCTTATGGATACCTCTCTAATATATATGGACCCCTCTCTATTTACGGACAGTTCCCCTGTTTCTGACAAACTGCCCATATATTTTTTTTTTATTAAATGTCATCCATGGTACTTTCATATAACATAGGCACGCAAGGCGTGCAAGAGTTATTTTTTTGTGAATTAAAAGACCCCGGAGGTGGTAGCACTCACTCTTAACAGTTATGATAAGGTTAATCCAACAAGTTTGTTTGGTTACGATGTACAGCACAGAAAGAAAAAAATTGAATTTGTTTCACTGTAGGTTTAGCTTACAAAACGTTCTTTAGTTCCTATTGTGTAATCGTCGATCGTCCGGGTGAGGGTAGTTCTGAAAAGAACTGTTGTTGGTGACTGACGTTTCGACAACTTGACCAGAAGACATCTTCAGAGTCAAGTGAATAGTTTGTCAGTAGATGTGTTATAAATCTGCTCCGTCGAAAGTGATTGGTCAGTTAAGCTATGATGGTATTAGCTGTAAGACTCGAGTAAAGTTGTCATCAGTCATTGGTCAGTTTCCATCCGTCGATTGTTAGTCAAATCAGTCCTACTGTTAGTCAAATTAAGTTGGTCTGTTAGAGGTCCGTTTGTTCGTTTTGTCAAAGTCATTTGTGAGGTGCCGGTAGTTGTTGACATCTGTTAAGAGGCGTTTGTTCCAAGTTAGCGTACCAGCTTTCCAGTCAGTCGTTAAAAAAACAGTTTGTACTGTAGGTTCTCTTTGAAACGCTTCCCAGCTGTATTAATCAATATCATTGTGTATTAATTTGAAGTGGTTTTACTGTTAACGGCAAAGGTGGCAACAGAATAAGAACGCGCTATTCCATGACTTGACATGTCAGACGTGACTATCTAACAATTAGATTAGTTTCTGTTTATCCGTGAAATGATAATAAGCGGTGTAAAGAAAATCGTTCTTGTTCCATTTTTCACCAGATATTTAAGACCGAGTTTACCAGAGGACCAGGCAGGGGTGATACATGCCATCTCTTCTTTTTGGATGAAACTTTGCCAGATTGAAGGTACTACCCAACAACTCTAAAAGACAAAGTGGGCCGGCCTTGTGATTTTTCCCTTAGGAGTTAGACCACCCCCCCTGGTTTTTTGCCCAAAATCCCAAAAATGTCACTAAAATAAGCATCAAATTTAAACA